TATCACAACTACACAGAATCCGGACCTCGACCGCAGTCCACACAGATCAGAAGTTAAACTCCAATTTCCCACCAAATCAAAAGTTCGAGACCTTGGTCTCCAAAATTTTGAATTTCGTGGTTTATCTGTGGTTTACTGTACCGAACCGATGCCAAACCAAAACCCAGTAGAATAAACCGAATTAATAAACCGAATTGAAATCCTTTCGTGATTATGAAACATTGATGTCGACATCGGACGTTGAGCTATTGAAGAGGGCGTGGCGAGAAGGCGGCGCCGGAGATTCTTCAGTACGAAGGAGCTCTTGTTGACCGAGCCAAAGAACATATGGAATTAGTGGTAAAATCTCTAAAACCCTAATTTTTGGATTCACCAGAATTAGCACTAAATCCGCAATCTTTTTGTTCCATGATTCTAATTAGCAGAGTACTGTTCTTGTATGATTGATTACGCTTTTTTGTTCTGTTAACATCATTGTCTTGTCACTTCCATTTTCCAGTGGAAGGAGTTTGGAAATTTGAAGTTATTGAAATGTTTGTAATTAAACAGGAAGAAACAATTGAAGATTATGTGGAAAATGGCATAGACCCTCTCATGGTGTCTCTTTATCAGATGGATTTGGACAGAGCCCAGTTTCTACTCAGATCTTATCTCAGGGTTAGGCTTCTCAAGGTGATGCTATCGGCGGTCAGAGTTGTTTCCGAAGGAGCTGGCGACAAAGGAGTATTCTGGTCAGAAGGAGAAGCAGGAGACTGAACAGGGGATGGAGATTTTGGTGTCGGAGATGGAGTCGCCGGAGAGTGAGATGGAGCATGTGCTGGCGAGTGAGCTGGTGAGTGAGAAACAGGGGTGGGGGAATTTGGTGACGGAGATGGAGTCGCCGGAGAGTGAGATGGAGAATGCGACGGTGAGTGAGAAACAGGGGAAGAAGACTTAGGTGGTTGTGCTGGAGAAACAGATGATTTAGGTGTCTAAGATTTTGACGGAGGAGTCGCCGGAGAAGAGGATCTCGGAGGTTTAGCCGGAGAAACAGGGGAATGAGCTTTAGGTGGTTGAGCCGTTGAACGAGGATTAGCCGGAGAAACTGAAGGAACAGGGGAATGAGATTTAGGAGGCTGAGCTGATGACGGAGGTTTCGCCGGAGAAATAGGAACCGTCTGGTGATCTCTGACGGCGAGAACAACGACGATCAGCTTCTGTCCCTTTTTACAGTGATCTTCATTACCACTTATGAAATAAAAAGGACCAGATCAATCAAGCGTTACCACAGATTCACCATTATCAAAGTTCTTGATCGGATTCCTAACATAAACATGTGAATTAAACATAATCACGAAAGGATTTCAATTCGGTTTATTAATTCGGTTTATTCTACTGGGTTTTGGTTTGGCATCGGTTTGGTACAGTAAACCACAGATAAACCACGAAATTCAAAATTTTGGAGACCAAGGTCTCGAACTTTTGATTTGGGGGGAAATTGGAGTTTAACTTCTGATCTGTGTGGACTGCGGCCGAGGTCCGAATTCTGTGTAGTTGTGATACTATATGAAACTTCCTAGGGGGACACAGGTCGTTTACCCTGAAAACTATGTATAGAACTATAGATTAGTTTGTAAAATGAATTGTGTGATTATTCTGGACATAAATTATGAAAAATAAACTGGTAGCCAATAGTTTACCATTTTACATAAATATATTTTAAATTTATTCTTTTAATAAATATTTAAGATTTTGTAACCAAAAAAATATGATAAATTAAGGTTTCAGTCATATAATAAGTTATAAGATAATTTTATTGGCTAATAGATATTGCAATATTTTAAAATTTATTTAGTGTTAATCAGTGTTCTAAAAAGCGGTCTAGGCGGTCGCCTAGGCCCCGACTAGGCGCTAGGCTCTCATGCGACGCCTAGATAACCGCCTTGACCGTCTAAAATTACATAGATCTTGTTTAATGTATTTTTTCAATTTCAATTAGAGTTTTATTTATATATATATATAGTTATAAATATTCATATATTGTTTAATATATAAATATAATTAAATGTTTTATCTAGTTTTTTGTTTATAATTTCATAATTTTTTGTTTTATTAGATATTTTATATAAATTTTATATATGATATCATATTTATTATGTTTTATGTTATAAACGTCTAAACCGCCTAAAAAATCGCCTAGGCTCCGATTAGGCGTTCTAGGCGCTAGGCATTGGGTCACCGCCCGCTTAGCGCCTAGCGCTTTCTTGAACATAGATAATTGACTTACTTGAGCGTTGTTTCCCTCCAACTAAATCGTGTTTGAGAGCAAATCTCAACAGCGATGTGAACTTTAAAGTTTCGATCTTTTTCGTCTTCAAAGCTTGATGCAAAAGAATGGCGACCAAAGTAGCCACAACAGCATCTACATTTCTCTCTCGCACTAACGAATTGAGTAATCTTCAACAATCATGTATTCGGATTCTCTCCTTTTGCGAATCGAGTTCATCGCGCATTGGTTTACACATTCATTGCCCTGTAATCAAGTTTGGTCTTTTAGAGAATCTCGACTTATGCAACAATCTTTTGAGTCTTTACTTAAAAACCGATGGTATATGGAATGCACGTAAGCTGTTCGATGAAATGCCGCAAAGAACTGTTTTTGCATGGACAGTTATGATCTCTGCTTTTACCAAGAGCCAGGAGTTTGCGTCAGCGCTTTCGTTGTTTGAGGAAATGATGGCTTCGGGAATACACCCGAACGAATTCACATTTTCCTCGGTGATCAGATCTTGTGCTGGTTTAGGAGATCTCAGTTACGGAGGTCGAGTTCATGGTTCTGTTTTAAAGACTGGGTTTGAGGGGAACTCAGTTGTTGGAAGCAGCTTGACTGATTTGTATTCTAAGTGTGGGAAGCTTAAGGAAGCTCGTGAACTGTTTAGTTCTCTTCAGAACGCGGATACCATCTCGTGGACGATGATGATATCTTCTTTAGTGGGAGCTCGTAAATGGAGTGAAGCGTTGCGGTTTTACTCTGAGATGATTAAAGCCGGTGTTCCTCCTAACGAGTTCACGTTTGTTAAGCTTTTAGGTGCCTCTTCCTTTCTCGGTTTGGAGTTTGGTAAAACGATTCATAGCAGCATAATTGTCCGGGGAATTCCGCTGAATGTGGTATTGAAGACATCTCTCGTTTATTTCTACTCGCATTTTTCTATAATGGAAGATGCTGTGAGGGTGTTGAATTCGACTGGAGAACAGGATGTGTTTCTTTGGACGTCTGTGGTATCAGGGTTTGTAAGGAACTTGAGAGCCAAGGAAGCTGTTGGAACGTTTCTTGAGATGCGAAGTTTGGGTTTGCATCCAAATAACTTCACATACTCTGCAATCTTGAGCTTGTGTTCTGCTGTTCGTTCGCTGGATTTAGGCAAACAGATTCACTCACAGACAATTAAGGTTGGCTTCGAGGACAGCACTGATGTCGGAAATGCACTTGTAAGTATGTATATGAAGTGCTCGGCATCAGAAGTAGAAGCTTCGAGAGTCTTTGGAGCAATGATCTCACCAAACGTCGTCTCTTGGACAACGTTAATCTTAGGTCTTGTTGATCATGGGTTCGAGCAAGATTGTTTTGGACTGTTGATGGAGATGGTAAAACGAGAGGTAGAACCCAATTTTGTTACTCTATCTGGTGTTCTCCGAGCCTGTAGCAAATTGAAATATCTAAGGCTGGTATTAGAGATTCATGGATATCTACTCAGAAGACACGTAGATGGTGAAATGATAGTAGGGAATTCACTTGTCGATGCTTATGCCAGCTCGGGTAAGGTGGATTATGCCTGGAATGTGACTAGGTCGATGGACATGAGGGATAATATCACATACACGAGCTTGGTAACAAGATTTAATGAGTTGGGCAAGCATGAAATGGCACTGAGTGTCATCAATCATATGTATGGTGATGGAATCAGAATGGATCAGTTAAGCTTACCCGGGTTTATCTCAGCTTCAGCCAACTTGGGCGCTCATGAAACTGGGAAACATCTTCATTGTTACTCCGTGAAATCCGGGTTTTCTGGTGCGGTTTCGGTTTTAAATAGTCTCGTTGACATGTACAGTAAATGTGGTAGCTTGGAAGATGCAAAGAAAGTTTTTGAAGAAATAGCTATGCCTGATGTGGTTTCTTGGAACGGGTTGGTATCTGGTTTGGCATCAATCGGTCGTATTTCATCTGCTCTATCTGCATTTGAGGAGATGCGGATGAAAGGAACCGAGCCCGATTCAGTAACGTTCCTGATATTGCTCTCTGCTTGTAGTAAGGGAAGATTGACCGAGATGGGTCTCGAGTATTTCCAATCAATGAAAACGATTCATAATATGGAGCCACAGATAGAGCACTATGTTCATCTAGTTGGTATCTTAGGTCGTGCTGGAAGGCTAGAGGAAGCAACAGGAGTTGTAGAGACAATGCATTTAAAACCAAATGCTATGATCTTCAAAACACTGTTGAGAGCTTGCAGATACCATGGAAATCTGTCTTTAGGAGAAGATATGGCTAACAAAGGCTTAGCACTTGCACCATCTGATCCAGCTTTCTACATTCTCTTGGCTGACTTATATGACGAATCTGGAAAACCAGAGTTGGCTCAAAAGACTCGAAATTTGATGAGTGAGAAGGGTTTGTGTAAGAAGCTAAGCAAGAGCACTGTGGAGGTTCAAGGAAAAGTTCACAGCTTTGTCGGTGAGGATGTTATTACAGTGGAGAAAACGAAGAGGATTTACGCAGAGATAGAATCGATAAAGGAAGAGATCAAAAGGTTTGGTTCCTCATACCGAGGTAATGAAAACGCAAGCTTTCACAGTGCAAAACAAGCTGTTGTGTATGGTTTTATCTATGCGTCACCAGAAGCTCCGGTTCATGTTGTTAAGAACAAAATCCTGTGTAAGGACTGCCATGATTTTGTGTCCATCTTGACCCGGTTAGTCGATAAAAAATAACTGTAAGAGATGGGAATCAGGTACATGTCTTTAAGAATGGCGTATGTTCTTGCAAAAGGGAAGAAACATCATTTGTAATATCATAGGTTTTTTAATAAGAATGATAAAACATTTGTGAAACGACATTGTTATGTTTTGAAAATTATTAAGCATTTTATTCAGAGGCTGACCACTGACTCAGAAACAACTCTAGCCCAAAAAAGCAACAAGCACACAATATGTAAAACTGGAAGTTACTCCTTCAACTGCGGATCGCTGGAGCTAGCAGCCGGGATCTCTGTTTTAGACTCTGCAAGTAGACCTTCAAGCGTTTTGTAGAACTCTTCAGGAAGAGGACCAGGTCGGTGCTGAGGAACGTGCTTTGGAATCGGCGCATCATTCTCAATTACTTCACACTCGTAGTCATCTGGAACACCCCAAGGGTCCCACTCTGCATATACAAAAAGAACGAGTTACGACTCCATGGTGAAGAACATGTTGTAAAAGACAAAGTCAGAACAAATGAGCCAGGATTCTAGACCATTGGAAGTCTGCTCGGTAGCATACTACAACCAAAGAATGTGATAAGACTCAAACAATAGCGACTTCTACGAAAGATGATTGCGTTTCATAAAACCAAGAAATAAGATCACTTAAACCTCGCACACAGAGTCATAAAGATTCAAAAGAGAGTTGTAACAAGCATTGACAGCAATGTACAGATAACTGCAAAGCAAGAACACTAATTAAAAACATGACCACACACCTATGTGTGTGAAATTGAAAGCAAAAACCGTTCCAAACTTTAGTGAACTATGCAAACCATTCACCCATACGCCAAAGTTAGCAAATCATACAAAAACATAAACTTTTGCATTCCCTTACTTGTATTTCAGTTCTAGCTTCAAAATTTCAATACACACTAACTCAATAGCCCAATAAAAGGGTCAACTTTGCAATGCTCAGTGTTCAGATTTTGCCACCTAACCATCCACAAAGCCTCAAGATTCAGATTCTCAATTTACCAAACCCATTTCTTGGGAACGCCAATAGTTCAAAATTAAGTGATTATTGCAATAAATCAATCTATATTCCAATCAGAATGAATCATATAGGCGACGAGATTACGAACCAATCATTTTCCCAATGAGTGTGAGCTCATCGCGAGCCTCTTCGATAAGCTCTTCGACTTGACCGCAACCAAGCCGCTTCTCAATCACCTCCCAATCTTCTTCTTCCTTGCACACATTGAGACGGTGGCGCGTGAATGATTCAACCGATTTACGGTATCCTTCATCCTCCGGCACGGCTTGGATCTCCTTTAGGGTTTTGCTATAGAGATCGATCAACACCGCTCTCGCGTTGGGAACAACGTCAAGCCCGACGATCCCCGTCGTCTGCTTCACTTTAGCCAATAATGGCCGTCCGATTGCCCGTAGAAACATCTCAACCGTTGGATCGCTCTCTCTCCGTAAGTCCGGCGAAATCTCAGAAATGTTGTTTGTTGTTTACAGTGTCAACTCTCACTTTTCAGATTGAGAAAGCGAAATAAAAATATGGGCCGAGATTGAGTTAATTGGGCCTTGTTATTTAAAAATAATGGGCCTTATTAGTAATTTGATAGGCTTTTGTTGCTTAGCATTAATGTGATGGGTCTTGATTTTTAAGCATAATTTTAATTAATTCTATTTTTTTTACTTCTAATTAATTTTAATTCAATTGTAATTTATTTATATGTTAAAATATACTTATAAAGTTTTTATTTATTTGTGAGTTGGGACCATTAGACAATATGGCCAACTCTTACGTTGGATATTTTCTAAAAAAGAAACTCTTTTTTTCCTCAATTTGTTTTGATATTTTTGGTACATTAAATGCTTATTCATTAAAGTAATAAGAAAACACTTTTAAAAACGAGAGAGGTAACAACTTGCATGCCCATCTCTCTTCATGAGAATCTGGACCGACCATAATATATGATATTTATATAACATTATTATAAAATAAAATTAACATCTAAATCGTCATAGCCTTATTTTAATTATAGCAATAACGACCCTACTTTAGTTAATTCCAGAGACGTTTAAATGTAGGATTTATCTAATACGGAATAAAATATGTTTGACCGACGTTTCGGATTACGACAAAAACTTTATAATAAAAAAAGGTTGACCATTTAATAGAAGCCAAGGCACAAGTGGGACTAAAGACGCCAGATTGTCTCGTGAAATTAAAGCCAGCGAAAACCGGACTCGTTGTTTCCGGTCTGAACCGAATTAACTGTCGTCTAGCTAGTAGCTATAGCTTCCCACATGATTATTTCTCAATTTATTACACTAAACCGATGTATTTAATTATCTCGACATTAAATGCAAGTGAATAATAATACGATACGAATTTTTTAGCATAGTTCTCGCTGCCAACTTTTTTTTTAACGAGGCAGATTAATTTAGCTTAATTTTTTTTTCAAGATAAAATTATTTTACATTTCGTAACTGTTTATTTGTTTGTTACAGTAGTTACCTCTATTTTGTTTTTTTGTCAACACTTATTTACCTTATAGACTGTTTTCACAAAATTTGTTGCTTTTTGGCTTCTTCTTTTTTTTTACACTTGCTTTTTGGTATTTATAGTTTTAATAATACAGATAAAATCATAGATGAAATAGGAAAAAAGGAAAGATGTTGATTTATACATTTTGAGCCAAGAAAAAGCTTTGGTATATGCAATGTCAATTTAAATCGACCAAATTATTAATCAAGACTAATTTTCTAATTTGAGCTATGAGTCTAAACAAAGAACAATTATGACTAGTCTTTCTTTCTCTGTCTCTCTCTATATATTTTTTAATAACACAATAAATGTCAAGTTTTTTAACAAAAAATAATAATAATTAAAAACTGACTTTTTCTTTTTGTAAATTGAGATATTATTCGTTTTCATCATCCACCACCGTCTCCGGAGGATCCGGCGGACCAAGATGGAAAATTTCCAGCGAAGAACAAATCATCTCGATCTCTCACCGCTAAATTCGGTATCAAAAGATCATCCACGTCATCATCTTCACCATCATCATCATCTTCTTCTTCTTCTTCTACTTCTTCTTCTTCCTCCTCTTCCTCTTCCATGTTGACTTCTTGACTAATAATATCTTCATCTCCGTTTGTTGCTTGAACGTCGTCGTTTCCTTTCAAGGGTGTCGTCGGAGATAGATGAATCTCTTCTTTTACTGTATCCGATAAAGGAGATGGGTTGTTGGGTTTAGGAACCGGGTTAACGGGTTGAGATTTGTTACGAGTACTTCCGGCGAGAGAGTTCCGGTGAGTAGGACGTGGATGAGTGTGTTCTCCGGTGTAAGTAACAATGAAGATATTAGGATCTAAATTACTTCTTTCAACTTGTTTTCGAGCTAAACATCCTTTTGAGCTACTACATCTGTAATAATTCCTGTTTTATGTAACAAAAAAAAAAACAACTCGATTAATTTAGTTAGCACATTTTCTAACTATTTTTGTGTCGAGAAAATTTTGAAAAGAAAAGATTGATGACCTTGGATAAGGAGAGCCTTTGATGGGTTTTTGACCGTATTTACGCCAAGCCCACAAATCAGAAGAAAGATTCTCTTGCGTTACATGACATATGGTTCTTTTTTGCTGATTCTTTCTACAAGCAACAAGACAAAAAGATAATTAAAGAAATAAACTTTGAATTAAGAGATGTGTTTAATCGATGAACAAACCTTTTTCTAGATCGAAGAGGAGGTTGAGATTGTTGTTGAAGAAGCTGGTCGCGTTGACCTCTAAAAACAAAGACAGAAGAAGAAGAAGAAGTGGATGGTGGGAAAACCCTAACACTAAGTGGAGGTTTTTGATCTTGTGATTCGTGGAGTACTTGTTCTTGTTTCATTAAGATTTTAGGAGATGGTGATGATGAGACTGTAGGAGGAGGAAGTAGAGGAGGAGGAGACCAAGTAGTTGTAGTAGTAGCTGGTAAAAAAGGTTTGCAAGAATCTTGCAGCTCGTTGCAAGAAGAAGAAGAAGAAGGCTCTTTGTTGTCTCTGTCTCCATGGATGTGTGTAAACAGAGGGGGAGGAGGAGGATCTTGTTCTTGTTTACAGTTTCCTCTGTTGTCTTCATGACCAGCACAAGAGTTGGTGGTGGAAACAGAAGAGCTGCAGCTTCTGACGACGGCGAAGAGATCCCAATCCTCGGAGGACATGGTGATCTTGAATTCGTGGGTATTTAGGAAAGCTTATTTGCTTTTTGATTATGTTGGATGTTGGTGAGAGGAAGAGAGAGAGAGAAGGAGACAAACTATGGCGTAAAGGACGGCGCTGACTTTTTCTTTGTCGAAAGAGAGAGAGAGAGTATGGAGGGATTGGGGCAGTGTCCGAGAGAGGAATCGATGGTTGGGAGAGAGAGCACTTGACTTGCTATTCGTTCCAATTATTTATACATTTGACAAAAAAAGATAAAAAAAAATTAACTTTTGATGGGTTTTCATATCTTCTTTTCTTCCCTCTTTTTCGCATATATTTATACTCTTTAAAAATCATATTATGATGTACTCCATCATCGTATATTTATTAATATTTGAAAGAGTACCAATAAGATTCGGTAACTAATATTTTATATTTTGTTCTTTTTTTCAAATAGTTTTTTAAAATATAGCTATCAATTTGTTTTTTTTTTCAATCCAATGGTTTATTTTTGCTAAGTTTTTAAATAATGATAGAGGAAAGTTTTTTTTCGAAAATGAACAAAACTCAGCGGTTGACAAAATTTCGGTCATTAAATCTTTGTAAAGTGTGATATAAGATTTATATAAAATTATATCGTCTAAGATTAAGAAAGTGAGTAGTTTATCATTTTGGAATATGTCTTTCTAATATTGAAATAGATATATATGATAATGTTCTTATAGATTAGGAAAATGTTTATGGTTTATGAACAAACAAAGGCATGTAAGACCCGATTTTAAATTTACCACCCACCTCTAATGGTAAATCAATTATTCAGCCAGCAAACAGTGAAACACTAACTTGCTTTGGAAGATTTTTATCTTTTTTAAAAAAATTTACTTAATAGACAATCCTATCACTTAAGGACTAATAATGATAAGTGGTAGTGATTTGGTATATTGGCATTTAAGAAAATTTAGTACCTAGTAAACTTAGGTTACTGGGTGACGACTAATATTTTTATAAAACGAACACTAGTCCTAAACAATCTAGTGCTAGAATATTCTCAAAGCTCATAAAATTTGATGGTCCGACGAAAATAATAAAATTTTAACAAGTTTTATCATTTTTTGTGAATATTAAATTTATCTTAATAATGTGTGTACATTTTAAAATAAAAAACTCAAAGCAAGTTCGAAAAAGTTGGTTTCTTGAACCAACAACTGTGAAACCTGTGAGTGAACGTACATGAAAAAAAAGATAGAACTTCTAATTCGAATATCTTTCGCATGATAATCGACACGGACATCATTGTTTCTAGTAGACCTGGGCGTTCGGTTATCGGATCGGATTCGGTTCGGTTTTTTTGGATTTCGGTTTTTTGGATATAGATTCTAATATCCATACGGGTAATTATAGAATTCGGATCGGTTTTGGTTTTGATATTTTGGATTTCGGATCGGTATGGATATGAAATTCAATATCCGATTTAACCAAAAATCTAAAAAAAAATCCGATTAATCCGAAAACCGCAATGAATCCCAAAAAGAACAAAAGCGACCTCCATTAATAGCAAGTTAATCCGTAAAACCGTAAACATAAACTTATCAAAGCAACAATAAACATCAAAATTTTCAGAATCTAGCATGAACACATAGGAGAAAAAAGGATCAAAACAGTAACAAACAATAATCGAATTCGTCTCTAATGAAGAAGAAGAATCATAGAACATGGAGACATGGATTATAACTAAGAAAGAAGAAGAATTTAAGTTCAAACACATACCTAAGATTGATTACTTGATGTTTCTTATGGATGCGTCTGAGACGAAAGAGAGATTAGGGATTCCATATTGAAAGATTAGGATTTATGCTTATATGCGAGTGGACATATTGGTAGGAAAATCGAGATTAGGGAAATGGATCACATATTGTTAGGGAGGGAAATCGAGATATTGGAAATGGATCCCGTAATGCAAAGGATGATTAAGGTTCTAAAACTTCTAGAGAAGAGTTCAGATACCCATCGGATATCGGATCGAATCAGGTATTATCTGATATCCATGGATATAGAAATCAATAACCGATCGGTTAATCTGTCAGATTCGGTTCGAATTTTAATCCTATTTTTCGGTTCGGTTCTGGTTCGGATTTTCGGTTTCGGATTAAACGCCAGGCCTAATTTCTAGAGATGAAAAGTCGAAAAGAACACACTACATGTTTATTTTGAAAATATTGAATCCTTATAATTTATAGTACAAAAAAATTGTGAAATAGATAATATGTTTTATAACATTTTCTCCGGTAAAAGTCATTACAACATAAAAATTAGTTTGTTTTTAGCGTGAATGTCAATGCTGAGATATACACAAGAACAAGAA